TAATTACATATGTTGGCCCATCACATGAAATTAAATAATTTCCCAACACTCTACTGTAATTCGTGTATATGAATCTGATAATGGAGAATTTTGGGAAATCTTTTTGGCATGTAAAAGAGGCTGGACAAGTAGATTTGAGGCATGCAGTGGAAGAATTTTCCATGATGTATATGCAAATGAAACTTCCTAGTTTTGTGTTCTTCAGTAAATCTTACTTTCTTCTTATCAAAGGCATGGAACTTGTGGAAAAGTAGAAAAAGAAATGTAACATAAATCTTTAGCTATTCTAGAGGAAAACACTGACAAACTATAAACAGAATATAGTTGAGATAGAAAACACACTGATAGGAACATAGAACTTGAACAACTCTTTTGAGATTTACAAAAAGAGCCTCAATTTGTAGGCTTACAGAGACTCTTTTTTATGCAATCAATCTAATAAATAGATAAATAACAGATATCTGTAAAAGTACGACAAGCACAGTCAAGAAGGATCAAACAGGAGGTCCAAAAGAGGAAATGAAATCAACCAAGTTATCAAGTGATTGATATGAAGAACCATCCGGTTTCAGAGAGAGATTTAATTTCTCCTTCAAACTCAATATATTCCTCCTGATATTTTCCCCTTCCTTTCCTATCATCAGTTTTCGAACTGCGATTTCTATATCGAATCTTTCGAGCCCTTTCTCTAACTTAATCCCAACTCTCCAAATATCATTCACATATCTGGAATTCACCATCTGATCGCCAAAGAAGTACGAACATATCATTGGAACGCCTTCACAAATGCTCTCTAGAGTTGAGTTCCATCCGCTGTGAGTCAAAAAGCCACCAATGGCAGGATGAGATAAAACATCTTGTTGGGGTGCCCACTTTACAATATAACCCCGTTTACTAGTCGCCTCCCAGAATTCCTTTGGCAAAATTTCAAGACATTTCGATCCTTGGACTAATCCAGACCGAAAAACCCATAAAAATGGTTGCTGGCTATTGGTCAACCCCCAAGCTACTTCATTTAATTTTTCTTCATCCATCTCTGCAATACTTCCAAAACTAACATAGATTACTGACTTGGGTGCTTGTTTATCCAGCCAGGATATCGAGGTTCGATCTTGAGTCCATAAACTACTCGAGGAGGCTGAAAAATATTTATGAAATGGACCAATTGCAAAAGTAGGCTTGAGAAATTGTTCACCAAGTTTGGCTAATTCAGGCTCTTCTAGTTCTTTAAAGGTGTTGAAAATAAGGCCTGAAGCTTTCTTTGTTCCTTCCACCACTTCTGCTAGGAACTGATGGGCAGCCTCTGGATCATCTGTTCCAAACCTAGGAATATCCTTAACTTTCAGAGGTGGGAACTCCACAACTGGTTCGTCCATTTCGGAATCTGTCCAAGAAAGGATGATAAGAATTAGGTAAGTTGATGCAGTGACCTTTTGCTATAGAGTGCAGTAAATCTTTTTGATGCAGTGACCATTTTGCGATTTATGGTTTTAACTTTAATTTAAGAAAAAGTTGTCTGTACCTTTTAATAATTACGTGGTGCAAAAATGTGAAGTCTTATGCAGTAGGCAGAGTGGTTAAAAAACTTGTCAAGGGTGTGTGCATGTTTTAGAAAAATTTGAATAATAAAACAGAATGCTCTGTTAACTTTTGCAGATTATCTTTCCCTTCCGAAAGCACAAACAAAGAAGAATAATTCTTCTCCACTCACAAAACTTACATGGTATCAGAGCTTTTATGATCTTAAGGGCCAAAGATAATATTGTTTATAGCAATAACAAGTCTTTATTTACCTGCACCTCCTGTTTTCATTGGAGAAAATTATGGTTTTTGGATAATAAAGATGAAGACTTTCTTGATGGCTTATGATCTATTGAAAACATTAGAGAAGGGTTTTGTGCCTGCAAATGAGGCAAAAATTCAAACTATATCACAAATTAAACAGCTAAAGGAAGAGTTCGCCAAAAACTATAAAGCTCTTTCCTTCATTCATTATGCTGTGTCAGATCATATTTTTCCAAGAATTGTTTCAATCACAACAAAACAGTGCTTGGGAATTCTTAAGGAGTAATTTCAAGCACAAAAAAGTTATAACAATGAAGTTGCAAATGTTGAGGAGAGAATTCGAGATTTTGAAGATGACTGAAGCACATTCTGTCATGCAGTACTCTTCAAAACTCATAGAAATTGTGCATCACATGACGCTTCATAGAGAAAAAATTTTTGTCAAAGAATCATTGAAATGATTTTGATTAGTTTGCCTGAAAAGTTTGAGTCAAAAATTTCAGCAATTGAAGAATCAAAGGATCTTAGCAAGTTGACAGTCATATAGCTTAGTGGATCTCTACAATCCTATAAATAAAGAACTAGTAAAATAAGTGAAGAGTCTCTTGAAAAAGCTCTTCGAGTGAGGCACAGAGGAAATACATTTCCTGCAAGAAACCAACCTATTGGAAGAAATGATACTGGTAGAGGTGTTGAGTCTACCACAAAAAAGGTTGACAATAGAGAAAAATATCCACCTTGCAAAGTTTGTAACATACCAAATTACCTGGAGCAGGATTGTAGGCAAAAAGGATTAAACAATATAGATTATGTGGGACGATACTTGGACTTTCTAAATTCATTTTACTATTTATCGTGATCGTGCACTTGTGGAATCACTCGAACAACTTCAATCAAGACCAAAGTGAAGATGGAAATACACAATATGTTAATGTTGAAGGCAAAGAGACTATTGTTGTGCATAAAAGTAAAGGTACTAAGCTTATCTCAAATGTCTTACTAGTACAAAAGTTAGATCAAAATCTTTTTAAGTGTGGCTTAAATGATGGATAAAGGACACTATTGTTGTGCATAAAAGTAAAGGTACATTTAGAAATAAATTTTGTAAGATTTATGATTCATATGGAGCAGAGTTGTTTAATGTTGAAGTTAATTGCATCTTTCCACTAAATTGGTCTTCTTGTCCTAGTTCACATGCTTATCGAAGTAATGTTGATGAAACTTGATTTCGGCGCAAGAGATTTGGCCACTTTATCTTATCATCGCACAAACATTCTTATGAAAAGGTCCTGGTTAGATATTTACCTCATCCGAGTAAAAAAGTATGTGAATGTTGTCAATTCGGAAAACAACAAATACTTTATTTTCCCTCAAGTGGCGTAAGGGCTAGTAAAGAATTGGAACTAGTCCACACTGATGTTCATGGACCAATGAGGACTCCCTCCTTGAGTGAAAACAGATATTCATTCTTTTCATAAATGATTAATCAAGAATGACAAGGGTGTATTTCATGAGTAGAAAGTCTTTAATTTCTCTATCCTCAAGAAATTTAATACTCTAGTAGAAACTCACACTGGTTGCAAACTGAAGAAGTTGAGATCACAATGGGGAAAGGAATATACATCAACAAAATTTGATAAATTTTGTGAGGAGAAAGAAATAGAATGGCAACTTACAATGGCATATACACTTAAACACAAGGTGTGTCACATTGGAAAATGGAACAATAATGGAAATGGTAAGATGTATGCTCATTGAGAAAAAGCTTCCTAAGAAGTTTTGGCCAGAGGCAGTCTATACCATAGTGTATTTGAAAAATAGGCCTTCAACAAAGGCTGTACGAAACCTTTTGTAAGTCTGGATTGGAACTAGACCTTCTGCAAATCACATTAAAATCTTTGGTTCAATATGTTATTTTCACATTCCTGACGTGAGTAGAGAAGCTAAAAAAAGGAGCTTTTAATCTAGGTCAAAAAGTTCAAGAATCTATATCCTTGAAAAGAACAAGTTGTGATAAGTAGAGATACGAAAGTTGGTGAGAATTCTAGTGGGAACTCGAAAGAGGCAAAGGTTGAAAATCAATCTACTATTGAGACTCAAGACACATAGTTGCCATAGAAAATAAAGAAATCATTCCTGAAATTTAGATAGAGAATCTGATGGTCCTTCAAGTTCGAAAAAACTAAATCATTGGCTGAGATTTATGAAAATTGCAGAATGGCTGCAATTGAAAGTCACGAATGGAAAGATGTTATGCAAAATGAAATAACAATAACTAAGAAACATTAAACATGGGAGTTTACTCACAAGCCAACTCATAACCAAGTCGATGGTATAAAATGGGTATACTGAAAAAAGTTGACTGAGGATGGTTCAATCCACAAACATGAGGTGACACTCGTAGTATAGGAATATTCAAAAAAAATTTGGAGTTGTCTATTATGGAAGATTTGCTCCGGTTGCAAGATTGGAAAAAACAAGACTACTCCTTGAACTTGCTGCCATTAAAAAATTGGAAAGTATATCATTTGGATGTTAAATTGACTTTCTAAAATGGCACATTGAAGGAGGAGAAATACGTAGAACAGCCAATGGGGTTCATCATTGCTGTAAAGGAAGACAAAGTTTACAAATTAAAGGAGGTGCTACATCGTTTAAAATAGTGCCTAGAGCACGGTATAGCAAAACTGATGGTATCTTCAACAAAAAAGATTTCAAAAGAGTCAAAATGAAGCCGCTCTTTGTGTAAAAAAAGTGGGAAAATGTAAGTGTCTTGATAGTTTCACTATAGTGGACGATTTATTGTTAACTGGAACAAATGAAATTGGAAACGAAGAACATTAGGGCTGAAATTAATGAAATAGTAGTTTGGAATGGCTGATTTGGAGTTATGAGCAACTTTCTTGGCATGGGATTTATCAAATTGACCATGGTATATTCATGTCTCAAAAGAAGTACATCGAGGAAATTTTGAGAAAATTTAAAATGGAAAATTGCAGACTAACAGAAACACCTCTTGGGATTAATGAAAAACTATCTAAAGAAAATGGTACAGAAAAGGCAAATAAAAGTACTTACAGAAATTTAATTGTAAGCATGTTGTACTTGAATTCAATAAAGCCGGACTTGATTTTTACGAGTCTTATGTCAAAACTTGAGCAATCTCCAAGAGAGATCAATTTCAAAGCAGCAAAACAAGTTTTGAGATACTTAAAAGGAACTATTGGTTTCCGAGTGTGGTTTCAAAATTTTGTAGATGGATGATTGAGTGGCTATTCTGATAGTAATTGGGCAGGTTGCGTGGATGATGTAAGAGTACTTCGAGATACAGTTTTTCCTTCAGTTCGGTATCTTCTCAGGAATCCGAGAAAACCAGAAGTTGTAGTGCAGTCCATCGTCGAGACAGAATATTTAGCAACAAATTAAGCTATTTGGCTTAGAAAAATTTTATGTGCTTTCGGATTAAATCACAACTGCACAATAACAAATGCACCAAAAATGAAATAAAAATAGAAGAGACAGAACATAAATTTATGTAGTTCACTAACGGAAAATAAACTAACTAATCAAAGCTTTAATTACAAACTTCAACTCTCTCAATACACCGGCCGTGCCTATATTCTCTCCCTATTTCTTCTCTATTTTTCTCACTTCTTTTAACTCTTGGTTGTGTGTATCTTCTACCCAAATGGGATTCTCTCTCTCTCTCTCTCTCTCTCTCTCTCACGTGGCTCCATCATTTTGGTAAAATCTTCCTTTTTGAATTTTTTTTTTTTTTTTTTTGCAATAATACTGTGTTTCCATTCATGGAGATTATTGCTTCCTTCTTTCAACTCTTGCAATGATTTCCTGACTTTCTTTTGTCATCTTAAAAGATTTAGGGCCAAATATCTAAGAAAAAGAAAAGTACCTTTCATTGAGAGGTATCCCTTATCTTGAAGGAGTGGTAGAGCAGCATAGGCTAAAAAGGAACTCACACTGCTAGTCCGGAGTACGATCCTAGGAATCTTAAGGTTGTCAGCCACTTCCTGTGTGAAATACCAAATGGCATCTGTAATTATACATGCTATAGGATCGTCAGACAATAATTGAGCCAAACTGTCGTGAAATGGACCGACACATCTCGCGTTAAGTTTAGGAATTAATGCAACTTCTATAGTGGAAACTTCACTTTCTGTTAAGCCGTCAGGGATTATCCGTATGGTGAAATGAGGGTATTGAGAGAGATTTGGACAATTATATTTGACGAGAATGATGGTGATATCGAATCCCTTGTGGTGAAGGATGTTTGCCAGCTGAATCATGGGATTTATATGTCCTTGGAATGGCAATGGAAAGAGTACTAAACGGCATCTTTTACTATGTTGCTGGATATTCTGGCCATGATTATCCATGATGAAGAAGACCCTATTGATCGCCTCAGTATGCTGTTCTTAATATTCTTTGATCATATGAGACGCAGGATCAATATGTTCAATCGGTCAAGATTTTTTTTTGGGAAGACATTTTCAAACTTTGAAAAATACAGTGTTT